TTTGTTCTCTATTTCTCAGGTTTGTTTTCTTCGAAGTACTTTTTTTTTTTTTTTCTGGAAGCACTAGCTTTGAAGAGCCAGGGCAAATTAAGCTCCACACCACAAAGTAAGCTCCTTGAGTGCAGGGATTTTTTTTTTTCTTTTATGTTCACATTGTAGCTCCAGTGCCTATTCCATTGCGTGCACACACAGACACTCAGTACGTAGTTTTGGTGTCAGAGGACAGTTTTCAAAAAAAGTTAAAAACTGAACTTTACTCTACAAATCTACAGTGAGCATGTATCAAAGATTTATTTAACTCATTAATGAGAGAAACAGCAGGGTGGTAAAGCTGGTTCAGAAATAGGCACTGAAAGAATGCTAGCAGAAGACTAATAGATGAGGTTTTAAAAATGGTTACTATCCACCAGGATAATAAAGTTGTTGCCACTGGACTTTTCTACTGCACAGAAATCATTTGCATCTCTACTTGGGTAAAATTCACTTTTATTGCTATAGGGGAGAAAAATCGCTTTCATTGCTATCAGTTTTTCAAAGTTAGCATTTCCCTTGCAGGGCTGTAAAATATTCTAATACATAATAAAAAGTAAACCACATGAAATACCCTTAATAATATTGGAGAATTTAATCTCGTGTATCAGGTCAGTCTATTAAAATATATATCCTGTTTGAATTCCAAATGCAGAAACTATTAATAGTTTAGTGGTAATTTGATTCATTTTATATAAAACCAAGTGTTTTATTTCAAGTGACTTTTAGATAGTGTTTATTCAAATTAAATATGTTTTGGCCATGTGGTAGGTACTTAATAAATATTTGTAGAATTAATAAAGGCACAGTTTATTAAGTATACTGTTTTGTTAAGTAGTCAATCCCAAAAAATTTGTGGTTGCAATGCCACTTGCTCTGGTTTATGAAAGCAATAAAGAGTAGTAGGATGGCATGGCTCGTGTAGTTGCACTGAGGGTTGAGCTGCTTGCTACACCAGCTTCCCAATTGGTAGCACTTACTTGAGTCTTGTTTGCTGTGCTTCTGATCTAGCCCCCTGCCAATGTGCCTGGGAAAGAACTGAAAGATGACCCAAGTAGTTATTCATCTGCCACTCAACGTGGGAGACCAGGCTGGAGTTCTGGGCTCTTGGATTCAGCCTGAACCAGCCCTAGCCATTGCAGACATTTGGGAAGTGAATCAGCACATGAAAGTTTTTCTGTCTCCCTCTCCCTCTCTTTCTGTCACTCTGCCTTTCAAATATAAACAAATAAATCTCAAGGAAAAAAAGCTTAATGGCAAAAATGGGACTGTGGAATCAGAATAACATGGTTCAGATCCTAACTCTCTAATTTACTACTTCCAGCAAACCATTTAACCCTTGTACACCTTAATTTCTCTTCAGTTAAATGGGGATAGTGTCTACTCTCCTGGAATGTTGTAAGCATCAAAACATACGTGAATGATTGTTTATAACATGTGCAAAATGCCTCATTTACAGTAAAATGGTAGGATATATTCTAGAACATTATAAAAATGGAAGAATTTTCCATTATCTGAGCTATTTTTCTTATTGAAAGAAATCACAAATGATGAGAGATCAAAGTAGAGATGTAGAAATAACTCCCTCGTCTATGATCTCTGACAGTTTTCCACTGTGCAAACATGAAAAAAAGGCTTCTAATTTTTATTATCATTTTAACTCTAAGAATTACTTAGGGTATAATTGAAAGATATTATTTGATGATAGCAAAGAGTCTCCCTGTGGCTTGCTGACCTTGTGAGACCCAGGAATAATGTAGCTAGATCAAGATTTCTAAGTAACTTTTGGGGCCGGTGCTGTGGAGTAGCAGGTAAAGCCGCTGCCTGTAGTGCCAGCATCCCATGTAGATGCTGGTTTGAGTCCTGGCCGCTCTACTTCTGATCCAACTCTCTGTTATGGCCTGGGAAAGCAGTGGAGGATGGCCCAAGTCCTTGGGCCCCTGCACTTGTGTGGGAGACCCGGAGGAGGCTCCTAGCTCCTGGCTTTGGATTGGCGCAGCTCCAGCCATTGCAGCCAACTAGGGAGTGAATCAGCAGATGCAAGACCTCTCTCTCTCTCTCTCTCTGCCTTTCCTTCTCTCTCTGTGTAACTCTGACTTTCAAAGAAATAAATAAATCTAATAAAAACAAGATTTCTAAGCAACTTTTTTAAGTCCTCACTTAGCATAGATGTTCTAGTTACTTTTGCCATAGGACAAGTATGCCCTAAAACTGGAAGTTTAAGTCAATCATGTTTTCTGCTGGCAGATCCATTTGGTGAGGAATTTGGAGAGAGGACAACAGGGATGGCTTGTCTCTTTCCAGAATATATGGGCTCAAAATTTCAAAAACTGGAAGACTAGGGGTAGCTTAATGGCTGGGAACTGGAATCATCTTAAAGTTGTTCATTTACATATTTGACACCAGAACTAGGATGGCTTAAGGAATGGGGCTGACATTCAGACCATCTACCATGACCTCTCTATATGGTTTGCTCCCTTTCGGCATAGTAGCCTCAGTATATTTTGGCTTCTTACATCATGACTCAGGGCTTCAGGTACAAATATTCTGACAAGACGGAAGCTGCATTGCCTTTTAGGACAACCTCAGAAGGCATAAAGTATCTTTTCTACAGACTCTGTTGGTTGAAGAAGTCAGAAGTCTACCAAATTTAAAGGGAGGGAACAGTGTAGAGAAGACTATGGGATAGGAGATGCTGTGGCCATCTTTGGCCAATAAAATTTGTCACAATGAATGATTTCTTTCCTTTATTCTTAAAATTCTTTTTACTTTAAAATTTAATGACTTTAACATTTTGCCACATCCACTTTATATGTATATATTGTATACATACACATGTAATTTTTTCTTGAAAACAGGAATATTAAAGTCACACAGTGGGGCGGGCACTGTGGCATAGTAAGTTAAGCATCCATACACCTGCAGTGCTGGCATCCCATATGGGCACCAGTTGAGTCTCAGCTGCTCCACTTCCGATCCAGCTCCCTGCTGATGCCCTGAAGGCGGTAGAAAATGGCCCAAGTGCTTGGGCCCCTGCATCCACACAGGAGACTGGAGGAAGCTCTGCAGATCAGTGCAGCTCCGACCATTGCAGCCATTTGGGAAGTGTACCACCAGATGGAAGATCTCTCTTTCTCCCCCTCTCTTTTGGAAGACCTCTCTCTCTCTCTCTCTCTCTGTCTCCCTCTCTCTTTCTGTAACTGTACCTCTCAAGTAAATAAGTAAATCCTTTTTAAAAAAGTTACAAAGTGAGGGATTCATGATAATGATCATAATGTGGGGAGAGAATGATATATTGTCATGTATATGGTGTAATTCAGTGAAGTAATATTTATTATACACCAAATGATATGCCATCCACACAGTTTTTCTATTCTGTGCATATTAACTTCCATAAATAAGAGGAAATATGATATTTGCCTTTCTAGGTCTTGCTTATTTCATTTAGCACAATTACTGATTCAGTAGAGGTTTAATTCATATAACGATATGAAATGAAATATGCAGGAACTTCAAAAAGTTTTTGGAAAATAGGCTTAAAAGTATAAGCTTAGTTTTGTGCAGAAACAATTTTTGAAATTTGTGCTTAGTTTTCTGATAATACACATTTCCCATGTATTCTGAAAATAACTTATTTTGCCAGCAAAATAAACTCAAACTCTGAATTCCACTTTTCCATGAACTTTTTGATATGTTCTGTGATTGTCAAGGGCATTAACTTTTAGCTGAGTTATTGTCACTGCTCTACATTCAGTGAGTAACATACAATCTTCTTTGTGATGAGCTTTTATTTCCTTTTCCGTTTTGCCCTCATGTTGCATTTTCCTACCTTGGGTTCATTACCTCACCCATAAAGCTCTTTTAATATTTAATCTATTTCTAGTTTCCAAATCATGTTCTCAGGTGCCCATCAATTCCTTGTAAGTGTTTAATTTAAAAGACCTTTGAAGCATGACTGCATCTAGCTAAGTAAATCTAAACGTCAACCTTGGAAGCACCCAGTGACATTCAAATGTATTCTTTTCAATGTAGGGGACTTATTTTTCTATCTTGTGGTATATTTTGTCAAAAGAGGGTCAGAAATGTTGCCTTTCCCACTCAGCATTTGAAATATTGCTGTAAGAGCTGGTACTGTAGAGTCAGGCAGATTGACTTTAATTGTGTGAAACTGAGCAAGTTTCTCAAAAATTATGGGTTAGTTTCTTCATTTTTAAACAGAGGACAAAAATGTCTATTTTTAGCATAATAATAAGGAAATTAAATCATAAAAGAGGCTTCTGATACAGGATGTAGTTCATAGTAAGAATCCAAAAGTAACTAATAATAAGAAAAATTACATTGCCATTTTCTATACCCATAAATTCCTTTTCAAAGTTAAGTCTTGATCAATTGTTGTACGGGGTGTGCTGGTTTCAGTGGACAGAGGAGAGAAGAAGCGTTTGCACTAGTGATGACTGATGAAGAAGGTAGCGTCCTCTTCTTACCCTTTGGATGCTGACACCAAAAAGTTGGCCTGAGAGCGAGAATAAGCCAAATAAGCTATCCTGAGGAGCCTGACGTAGATAGAGAGCATCCTTTTTGAGGTTGTTTTTGTTGTTGTTGTTGCTCCTACCTGATACTCTGTGGATGATGACTGGATTGTTAAAAGGACAGTGAAAAAAAAATTGTATATGAATGAAATGACCCTTTGGCTAACCACGAAACTTCATTGTATACCCCATTGTAAAAATGTATTCGGGTTTTGTAGAATGTGTTAAGCCTGGACAATGTCTGCTATATATGATGTAAAATACAAAATGTAGGATAGAATTTTCCTTTTCCTCTTTCCCTTGAGATTTTTCCACCTGAAATCTCTCTGTAATCTCCAATTATTGTAATAACCATTGTAAAGATGGAAAACATTTATCACAGTGTCTTAAACCATGAGAAAACTTTAATTGACTTGGATTTACCATCTTTCTTTGCCGCAGGTGGTGAAGTTTACGAAATCCTTTGAATTGTTGTCCCCAAAGTGCAGCGCCGATGCTGAGAACAGGTAGGGCTTATGTGTGTCTTGGTCCTTGGGGTAAGCATCACTGTGCAATTCTCTGAGGATAGGAGTTATCCTCTCTATATATCAACAAGTGTGACCAAATGTTATAACTCTCCATAATTCAGAACTTACATAAAAATTACAGCTTAAAAATAGATGCATATACATTGAGCTTGCAAGCAGTTTTTTTTTAACTGTTGCCTCTAGCTTTTAGTGCCCCTTGTCCCTGAACCTCATAATGTTTTGAAGTAAATCATAAAGGGTTTTGCTGATTACTGGACTTTGAAACCAAATATATTATGTAAGTTAATATGGAATAGCTGTGGGGCAACCTTGTTTTTGTTAAACCAACAGTTTCCATTTTTCTTCACACCTAAAATGACTAAAGAATAAAATCAGTTTTTAGATATTCCTTAACTAGGCAGAAAGCCAACTTTCCTGCTTTATTCTGTACCTTTGTTTCTCCTCCCCCCTTTCTGTTTCCTTATCTTTAGCTATTAACATCCCTTTGGAAAAAGAGTGAGAATTTCCAGTGTTTTACCATTCATCCATATCGACATCTTTGAGACTGTAAGAGGGTAAAAATGAGGGTAAGGAACAACCAGGGAATATTTCTTAGCTTTGCAGTACTTCCCTGAATAATAGTTGGACTCCTACTAAAAATAAATTATATGATTGTCTACTTTGATCACCTCCAGAGGAAGGACAGAAAAATAGTAAAATTGATCAAAATTCACATATGTGAAGATTGGTGAAACACCCAAGACTGATTGATGGTGACAATTTTCATGTCTTTACTGATACCAACACCAAAAATATGAGTAGCTTCCAGTAATTAAGTGCTAGATATGCCAGACACTATCCTAGATAGTACATGTTTTTAATTCTAAAACTGAGGTTCAGCATTTTTTAAGATTTATTTTATTTATTTATTTTAAATACAGAGAGAGAGAGAGAGAGAGAGAGAGAGCACTTCCATCCATTGGTTCACTCCTCCAAATGGCTGCAATGGCCAGGGCTGGACCAGACCAACATTAGGAGCCAGGAGATTTTTCTATGTCTCCCACATGAATCTAGTGGCCCAAGTACTTGGAACATCTTCTGCTGCTTTCCCGGGTGCATTAGCAGGGAGCTGGATCAGAAGTGGAGCAGCTGGACTCAAACCGGTACCCTATGGGATGCTGGCATCACAAGTGGCAGCTTTACCCTCTATGCTACAATGCCAGACTCTCAGCAAGTTTGAAGTAACTTGTTCAAAGTCCTGCAGCCAGTACTTGTTATCCATCCAAAGATTACCTGACTAAAACTCCTAACACCTGAGCTTTGCTTCCATTACCACACAAGATTTAAAAACCTGATAGTTGATCATAAATGGTGAATATATAGGGTTATTGTTTTCCAAATTTAGTTGTTCAATCAGAATCAAGCTGGGAGAATTTAGAAGAAACTAAATCCAGAAGAAGCACACTGAGAGATTCTGATCCAATGTAGTAAAAGTGAAGTTCTGAAGAGCTGTATATTCAAAAGGCTATCTGCAAACTACTTGTTTCAAAATGTATTAGACAAGGTCATAGTCAAAGTGGAAGTTCTCTCCTCCCTTGAGAGAAAGGTACCTCCTTCTTTGATGGCCTGTTCTTTCTACTGGAATCTCACTAACAGAGATCTTTCATATAGGTGTTTTTTGTGTGTTTTGTTTTGTTTTGTTTTGTTTTGCCAGAGTGTCTTGGCTTTCCAGGCCTGAAATGCTCTCATGGGCTCTTCAGCCAGATCTGAATGCCTTAAGGGCTGATTCTGAGGCCAGAGTGCTGTTTAGGACATCTGCCATTCTATGAGTCTGCTGTGTATCCTGCTTCCCATGTTGGATCGTTCTCTCCTTTTTGATTCTATCAGTTAGTATTAGCAGACATTAGTCTTGTTTATGTGATCCTTTTGACTCTAAATCCTATCATTATGATCAATTGTGAACTGAAACTGATCACTTGGACTAGTGAGATGGCATTGGTACATGCAACCTTGATGGAATTGAATTGGAATCCCCTGACACGTTTCTAACTCCACCATTTGGGGCAAGTCCGATTGAGCATGGGCCAAACTGTACATTTCCTCCCTTTCTCATTCCCACTCTTATATTTAACAGGTATCACTTTTCAGTTAAATTTAAAACCTAAGAATAATTGTGTGTTAATTACAGAGTTCAACCAATAGTATTAAGTAGGACAAAAAAAAAAAAATACTAAAAGGGGTAAAGTATTAAGTTGTTCCTAGACAATTAGGACAAGGACTGATCAAGTCATTGTTTCTCATAGTGTCCATTTCACTTCAACAGGTTTCCTTTTTGGTGCTTGGTTAGTTGTCACCAATCAGGGAGAACATATGATATCTGTCCCTTTGGGACTGGCTTATTTCACTCAGCATGTTTTCCAGATTCCTCCATTTTGTTGCAAATGACTAGATTTCATTTTTTTACTGCTGTATAGTATTCTATAGAGTACATGTCCCATAATTTCTTTATCCAGTCTACTGTTGATGGGAATTTAGGCTGATTCCAGGTCTTAGCTATTGTGAATATGTCTTTTAATTCCTTAAGATTTTGTCTTCACCCTTCTTTCTCCATAGGTATTAGACTTTGAACTTTGGTCCACACTTAAGAACTAGACCACAAATGAGAGCCAGGTGCTTAGTTGGTCTCTTGATTTCCCCACTTGTCTTCCACCAGGTTTGGATACTCAAAATCTCCTCCTCCTTACAATCCTTTCAGTCCATGTTTATCAATTCATGCAGATTAATGCTCCCTCATGCACAGATGTGTCTCGGTTTAGGCTCATATGTCCTGCTATCAAAGAAATCCATGATTGCAAGGCAGTTGAAGACCATACGTTCTATAAAAGGTTTTTGCAAGGTGATTTTTTGAAGTATTTATTTGTTCTGGAGATATACACACAGAGAGAAAGCTCTCATCTTCTGGTTCACTCCCCAAATGCCCACAAGAACCCAGGTTTGGCCAGGCTAAAGCGAGAAGCTGATTATTCAATCCAGGTCTCCCATGTAGGTGGCAGGGACCCAGATACTTGAGTGATCGTCTGCTGCCTCCCAGAGTGTGCATTAGCAGGAAACTAGAATAGGGATCAGAGCCTGAACTCAAACTCTAATATGGGATTCTATTGTCCCAACCAGCGTCTTAACTGATAGACCAAATACTTACCCCCAGGGTGATATTTAGATACAGAGGAGGGATACTGTAGGGAAAGAGAAATAATTTTCTGTATACCTTTCTGAGTTCTTAGCTGGCACAATGCCCTGTAATAAAAAATAGATTTGCAAGAAGAACACAAACAGAAATTATTAATATGTGTATCTCATGTGTATGTGTATGGGAGACATACATAGATAAAAATGAGTAAATTGCGAAGAAGTGGCTTCGAATTCTATCATCCATAGCATTTTCAACAAAGAATAATACATTTTTTGAGAAGTAACAAGACATGGGAAAAGGACTTTAAATATTAAGAGGAGGAAAATTATGGGGAAGCAAATAAATAGGAGTTTGTAAAGCTGTTGTATACATTCCTGTGATGCTGCCTCCAGGGTGAGAAGGGTCTAAAATAGTCTTTGGTGATCACTGTTTGTCTTCCCTGCTGTAACCACACAGTGGGAGGACAGGGCTTTTCACTGGTCTGCTTCTCTGCAGTTACCCTCAGTTCAGAAGAATCCTTACACAATGTGACATACTTGGGGGCAGAATATTCTAGTTTCCTACAACACCCAGCTCATCATGAGAGAAGTGGAAGGTGGTCCTTTTGGATGTAGCAAAACTTCAATTAGGTCATATGGGACTGCTTTCCAGGCGGGGAGTAATATCACGAGCAGAGGCACTGGGTGAAAGAGAGAACATAGCATGAACGGATACTGGAATCTTTAATTAGGGCCATAAGCTGTCATCACCAAGACCAACAAAATTGATGGTGATAACTTCCAGCTCCTCCTGAGAACATCCAGCTTCCAAAAAAAGACATCTGGATGAGATTAGGGTCAGATCTTCTTGGAACCTTCAGAGATGCTCAAACCCTTCTAATTGGCCTGGAGACTGGCCGCTTGCCTGTTTGCTCACAAGGGAGTGACATATTGAGATTTGTGCTATAAAAAAATCACCTGGGTGGTGGAGTGAAGTAGGACTGGAGAAATCGCAAACTGAGGTCACCTAGGGATTAGATCTGCCTTGCCGACGTGGTGATGAGTCAGTGCTGTAAGATCCACTGTCTTTACCATTTCCAGATCAGTAACTGCTATTTTTTGACCACTCACCCTTTTTATTCTCCCTTTGCTCCAGGTTGCTAGTTCTTCTTAAAGTTCTGTTTCCCAGAGTAGAACATGATTTTCCAGTTTTTTTTCCAGAATCAGAACATATCAGAAAACGCATGTACTTCTTTTGTTCAGAATGCAGTTCTGTTAATGCAGTGATTATTCATAATCATCTCATGTAGCCTCGCTTTAGGACCTTTCCTAAGAAGCCTAATTTAAGAATATTTGGTGAATTAGCCTGAATAAACTTTCTTGGATTTCTTGTTCAACCTTTAATAAAGCTCTTTTGTATCCTCAGTAGGAACAGGCAATTTGAATATGTACTTAGAAACTGGAAAAGAGCATTTCTAAAAGTCTGAACAGAAATTTTCAAATGCCTGCAATAGCCAGAGTTGGGCCAGGTCAAAGTCAGGAGTCAGTAACTCCATCCGGGTGTCCCACATGAATGACAGGAGTCCAGGTACTTGGGCCATCATCTGCTGCCTCCCAGGTACATTAGCAAGAAGCTGAATAAGATAAGAAACAGGGTCGCTGAGCCTCTGATATGGGATATGTGTATCCCAAGCAGTAGGGTTATCTGCTGTGCCACATGCCCATGCCCTCACCCCCAGATGCTCTGCTTTGAAAAGGAGTCCAAGAAGAAGATAAATCATGGGGGGTAAAAATGGAATAAGAAGAGACAGACAAAGTCTTCAAGGATCAAG